GGATGCAGTCTATTTGTTGTGGAATTGATTGGGTTGTCCTTCCATGGGAGGTGTCAGCCTGAGTGTCACAGAGAAAGGAGAAGGAAGGGGACAATATTATACACAAGCCCTCGGATGGCATAGCTTACTTCGGTCCTGGACTGATGTATGGCCTGCGCTTTAATGTTGAGCACAGACTTGTATAGTGCAGAAGAGATTTGACTGGATTATCCTGGGTCTCTCCCTAGCAGACTACAGGAATGTATAGGAAACAAACACAAAAATAAGCTCAGAAATGATGGGTGTCAAAAGTGTGGGAAGCCTGGGATGGGGGAAGGAAGGACTTACTAGTTCCAGCAGTCTTTGATTTACTATCTCTGTTTTTGAGATTGCAGATTAGGCATGTTTCACATAACATAGGGGAAGGAAAAAGAAATTGTAGTTTTGGTTGGGAGACATGCCAAGCTTTCTATATGGTTGGTGTGGACAATGAAAGGGGGAGTAAAGGGGTGAGGAGGCAGGGAGGCTATTGGCCTAGTAAACAGGCAGTATGCTTCATCTGTCATTCTTGAGGCTTTTTTATGGGAGGGCAGAAGGGGAAGGGAAATGCTGATGAAGGCTACTTCTATTATTGTTTCCACACTCCTGGCTCAGGGGTGGGAGTGAAACATCTGTTTTTTGCCAGAGGGAAATCTGAGTTCTCTGCATGCATGGATGTACAATTCCAGCTTCCGTCTGTGCTCAGAGCAGGAGTCACCTCTTCTCCATGACCTGGGACCTCTGATAACGATGAGGAAATTTCAGCTTTTTTTCCTGACGGGCTTTGTGTTGCTTCCGAAAGAATTTTTTTTTTTCTTGTAAGAAATATGCTGCTCTAATATAAGAAATATTTCTCTGGTGCCTTTCATTTGAGGTTGTCTAAAACATGAAGCCTTTGAAAAGAGTGTTAATTTGCTCATCTGTAAAATGGAAATAACAAAGTTCAGAGCATTGACTTGACAGGGCTTATTGAGGAGTGGAAAGTCTACTCCTTCTCTATGTCCTATATTTTGACCACTAGGGCAACCTTCTTGGCTGTGCACAGAACTGCAGACAGTTGAGGAAAGACTTGGGCTTGCACAACGTTTACTTGCAGATCTTTTGATTCCAGAATTGGCACCTGCAGAGCATGCAGGTTGGGAGTCTTCCTGTCTAGTTCTGTTCAGTTGAGATGTAGAAAGAAAGTGCTTTGTGAATTCAAGGAGGCCCTCAACAATGCACTTCCATTGCTGCAAAAGGAGGCATGGTATCTGTGACTAGTTAAGTCCTGGGATATGAAAAGGCATTCATTCCTAGTGGCGGAAATTTCTGAGAAATCTTTCAAGGAGGGGAAGCAGTACAGGTGTTCAGCCAACAGCTCCCCTCTCTTGTGTCCTTGTGTGTGGGGAGCATTACCCCTGCTGCTGGCGCAGTGGGGCAATTCCCCCTGTGCCTTCTCCATCCCAGGGTGTCCCTGGTCTCGGGAAGGCTGGAGGGGCAGTGGTAGCTCAACTCTTCGATGACTGGGAGGAGCTGAACTGT